CCCCCTCCTGGAGGAGTTTTACAATGACAACACACGACCGTTAGCTCCGCACAATTCCGGGGTCCAAACCAATTCAGAATTACACACTGTAGGACACTTGTCAATTAGCAAACAGGCTAGTGATACTGGTGTCTTTAACTATACCGTTACAGGAAATTTCTTACCTAGGGAGAGTGAATCACCTAAGTTTTATTGCACATCTCGAATACTATCATGGTTTTTAGATTCTAAAGGTGTTTGCATTAATTGTTGATTCCGAAAAACTGTAATTCATGCGGCATGCTAATGAAGATTTGGAGGTTTTCGATCGTTATTCAAGGTAAATGAAACTAGTTTTGCACCTTTTGAATACAGTAACGATAAGTGAAACGCACTAATGCTGCCATACCGTCTTGCTGGGTGAAAGGCAGACTCTTTATTACGTCATCACTGGTAATATGATGAGTTGAACTAAGACTTTGTTACATCACTTCGTAACTATGCCAGCGTTGAAAATAAACTTATTAAGCGCGTTTAGTTCAAGCTAACACGCGGTTAGAAGGTCATCGAAGATTTAGAAGTTTTAAGAAAACACTTTCTCAGACAGAAAAGCCTCAAAATATTGATTTTATCTGAAACATAAAGGTAGGACGTTTTTCACTTATTTACTCAAGGTACTGCTCTTCTATGTACAAGAATATACTTTTTTACAGATATATGCTCACTGAAAGTCAAAGTCGTCTTTCATTTAAATGTTTAACAAATAAGATGTCAGTATTGAATTATTCGGGTTAACCAAATCATTTTCTGCGGGGTTTCAAGATGGATGCCAAGGAGGGGAACAACCTCCGAGTGAAAGCCGTGGAGTGTAAGCCGAGACAATCAGAAGATTGCTTGGTAAGTTGAAAAAGGATGTGTCTCCACGATCAGCTCTCTAATTACTGCATAATATTAGTTTCTTATCGGGGTAAATCTGCCTGACATTGTTTCCAATATCCACAACTGCCACATACAATAAATGTACAAAAATGGAAACAAACCCAGAAATTTCTTCGAATTGAAACTTGGAATTTTGTTTGACTCTTTAGACAAAGAAAGGAGGAGTCGAAATGAGACAAAAGCAGACTGCTGACCCCTGCCTGGATGTCAAAACCTCAACAGCAATTTCTGAGGGGCCAAAAAGAAAACAGCGGTTTGAGAAGGATGACGGTGATCTGTCCAGAGATGTGGACAGACTCATTGCTGAAATAGAGGAGATGTTCAGCGACTCGTCCAGTCAACCCCATCCTGGCCGAGACAAACAGGCGGAGCAGACAGAGCCCCTCATGTCCTGTGAGGACAGTGGCAAGGAGCCCTGGTCTGACGCAGGACCACCGTCTCACGTACGCCTGCCAAGACCAAAGGTGTTATATGGCAGGAGGATGACGAGCGGAGGTACAGAGGTGAGGAAGGGTGTTTGGGGTCCAAACCACCAGTGAGACCCGTCATCACAGGGGCACTTGAATACCAGCAAGGGCAAAAAACATTAGGAAAAATTCTGGTTTTGGCAACTTAATAAATTGGATGTACAGTATTGTGTTTAAGAGAGACATATTGTGATATTATACAGGGTAGTTCTGGTTTTTATGTGTAGGAAATGTTTTTTTAGGTAAAACAAGGAGTCATACCTTCTGAAAAGGAGACTGTTGAACTCTTCTCTGGGATCCTGACCCCACAAACAGTTTCTGAGGGGCCAAAAAGAAGAAAACATTGTGGGAATGACAATGTCTCCAGAGATGTGGACAGACACTTTGCTGAAATAGAGATGTTCAGCGACTCCTCCAATGAAACCCATCCTGGCCGAGACAAACAGGCGGAGCAGACAGAGCCCCTCAGGTCCTGCGAGGACAGTGGCAAGGAGGCCTGGTCTGACACTGGACCACCGTCTTGTGTACGCCTACCCAGACCAAAGGCGTCATACGGCAGGAGGATGAAGAGCAGAGGTACAGAGGTGAGGAAGGGCGATGGGGTCCAAAGCACCAGTGAGACCCGTCATCACAGGGGCACTTGAATACCAGCAAGGAAAAAGTTTTGGTTTAAATACATTAAGAAAAGTTTTGGCTTTGCCTGCGTAATAAATTGTATATACATTATTATGTTTGTAATGTATGTTGATATATATATATATATCATGATTCTGTCTTTTATGTGCCTAACTATTTTATTTAACTCCTTAGATAAAGGAAGGTGGCGTCACTGACCTCTTCCCTGAGATCCTGACCCAAAGAGCAGTTTCTGAGGGGCCAAAAAGAGGACAACGTATTAGGAAAGACAGAGATGGGGACAGATTTATGGCCAAAATAGATGAGGTGCTTAAGGTATCCCCCTGTGAAACTCCTCCTGGCCGTGACATCCTTCCATTTTTATCCGAAAGACCACTGTTGGAAGATCCACATCAGATCAGAGTCCGTGGCCTTGCCAAGAAGGCCCAGACTGACCTGTCACTGGTGGAGGAGTTTAAAATGGTTGCTTTAAGCACAGTAAAGGGAGAACGCCTCAGAATACCTTTCGACATCAACAATTCCCAGACTGCCAAAGAGACCTGCGTTGCTGAGGAGCTTGGCAAGATATCAGAACAGCCAGCTCCTCCAGTGCTCTCCTTGACAGAGCCCGTGAAGCCGACAGTGATGGAGGCTTCAATGAACAGCTGCCCAGGACACCTGCTGCCTCATATACGTCAGCCCAGACCAAAGGCCTCATATAGCAGAAGGATCACGAATGGGGCCATAGAGGTGAGGAAGGGTTCGGGATTCCAGGTCGTCCGTAAGATCGCTCACGTGAGGCAGGAGCCCTTTACCACCAGCGAAGAAAGTCCCAGCAAGTGCAATTTTCCACCCCAGAGTGAAGGCTCCTTAATAAAACCTCATCATTCTCAGTGTATGAAACTGCAAATGGAGGAGAAGATCCCGGAAATGAAGAGCTTCCCTAAGGAGGCTTGGGCAGGAGGAAATAAAAGAGAGAAAAAGTCAAGAAACCGAAGCCTTGACATCTCAAGCTTTAAATCCGATCTCCCACCAGCTAATGAAAAGAATGAAGACAGTGAAATCAATGTCTCTCCAAAACCCACAACGATTAGTACAGAACTGAAGGATCCTTCAGCAATTGAAAGCATCAGTGCCCAACCGGGAAAAAGAGAAGTCAAGGAAGTTGAAAAGGAACAGGATCGTACTTGCAGGGAGAAGCTGCTTAGGAAAACTTGCTTTATGAACATAAAAGGAAGCGAAAAGAAATTTAAAAGAGACTCAGAGAATGCCTCTCAATTGTCAAATAAAATACAGCAGAAGAATAATGAGGTAAAAAAGTATAAATATTATATGACATGTTTTCTTCATGTAGTTATTTTGTCTTGAATTTGTTAATTGGAATGGGAGGTAAATAAGTATACTTGACAAATCCCATGCCCAAAATGCCTGCTGGGATAGCCAAGCACTGTGATATCACCTGTGTAAAAACAGGAAAGTTGTGTCTTAAAAGCTGGCTACTGTACATGTTTGTTCAAAATATCTTCTTTTTTAGGGCTCTGCTCCAGAGAAGCCTTCATGCAATCAAGGGAGACTTACTGCAGAGAGAGAAGAGGGAAGCTGTACCTCCTGCTTTGCTTTTTTACAACTTTTTATGAGGAAGAGAAGGTGAAGGGACTGCAGTGACACTGGCAGCATCTTCAATATTCTTTCATTTCAATGTTAACCCAAAGAAAAGGGTTGAAAGTATAAAATACATCTGCCTTACCCCATTTCTTTTAATTCACAGAGACTAAATAAATCCTTTAACTGTTAACATAATGGTGTTTGTGTGCTGCTTAATATTTGATTAGGAAATACAGTATTTTGGAGAGTCCTACAGTATGCCCATTCACATCTTATCATTTTTAACTCTTGGATAACAGCAATGTCACTGTTTATAACTTTCCTTTAACAATGCAAAATTTTAAATACCTTAATACTGCAAAACATTTCTCATCAAAAGTAACCTACCCTGTCCCCTTTCCTGGTTAATTAGGATATATCATTTCTACATTATTTTGTGACAT